AGGAACAAACCTATTAAGCAGAAAACAACTAAAGCGTCTGCAGCCTCCAGCTTGGAGCATGATCTTATTAATAAACTTTGTGACGTTAAGAAAACTTTCGGGGAAACCCAGTTGGAAGCCGACGCAAAGGTCTCTCGCTTAGAAGTGACAGTTCACATGTATGATCAAACGAAAATCGCGGCAGTTGAGGCAGCAAAAGCAAGCACCACTTGTGTTAATCAGAGCGTCAACACGGATATCACCAATATGGATGAGAGCATCAAGCAAATTCTGGCGGCCGGCAAGCAACTGCAGGATGAAATGCAGCGCAAGGCGCTGGAATATATGGATAATCTTGGCCAGCGCCGTTCTGACACAGATATATCACAGCAGCCGGTGGACAACCAGGCCCACAATAGCGTCAATGAAGAGTCCAACGGCTGTACCAAATACGAGTCCAAATTTTATGAGCTGGAGCAGCACATACTCGTGCTGGAGCAGCATTTGCGTAAATTTGAAAGCCGCACGCAGGAAATGCAACAGATGAACGTTTCGTTGGCTCAGGAGAAGATGAAGCTAAAGGAACGCATCGCACTTATGGAGCAACAAATATCCCAGCTGTGCCAACAGGGCGCCAGTGGCAACGAGCTACAGCAGGTGCTAAGCGAGATGCGCATACAAAACGTGCGCTACATGGACATGTCCAAGGCTAAGGATCGCTATAAGAAGCAATGGCGGCGCAGTGCCAAACGCGTGCACGCCCTCAAGCTAGCCATGTATGAGAAGAGAGTGGAGCACGAAAAGAACATGCCAGCCAAGTGAGTTAGCTGCACTTTTACTCGATATACATATACTCCTATCCTTACATACTTCTCCATCCATTTCAGCGTGCTTAATTTAAAAAATATTCTCACTCAGGACGCCGAAGAGTTTGAGCGTGAGTATGGTCGTTTTCGTAGGTCTGGAACAGCGCTCAGCTTCTCTGCTTCCGGTGAATCGTCGGAGCCCTTGCTTAAGGAGTATCTGCGTGGTCTTTCCAGCCAAACGGTGCAACAGCACAAGCCGCCAAATCACGTGGACAGCACTCGAATGCATTAGCACCGATTTCATTTGACGAAATTATCTGTGATTTATGATTATTTAATTTTAAGATTGTAGGTTAATTTCTATTTTGCGTTACTTCTTCGGTTTGTGATTAAAATTTCTGTTTTATTTCAACAAACCTACGCATTAGTAAATACGCCATAAATATGGTCTAGTCCTTAGTGAAGAATGATCCTAGCGCAAGTTACTTTACCTAAGGTGAACTAATATCCTTGCTAAAGTAAGATTTATATGATTTAGTTTAAGTGAAAAGGTCTTACGAGATTAATTGGATCTTCTTATTATGGTCCTGACAAATACCTAACAAAAAGCTGGAATGTTACCACTGCCACCTAGAAGCATTAAAAATACTTGTAAATATTTAGATTTTACATAATTATTTACCACAAAGCTGTTCAACTGTTACTAAGAATTTGATATCTTGTTGACATTGCTCGAAATTCAGTTTTATGTCAGGTCTTATCGCTTGTCAAGCAGCAGGAAATAAATAAAATGTAATAAAATATTATTTTTTGTTTAATTCTTTATGAAGATGTGTTTTAATTAATATTAAGAACCGTAACTACTCCAACTGAAAGCCCACACGTACAAAATGAGGCAACGTGTCCAGCGGTGCAGAGTATTCCATGAGCCACACGGGCCCCTTGTAGACATCCTGAGTGTTTCCATCTGTCCACTCGCCCTCGGGCAGATAAATGTCACGAATTATTGCGTTTTCCATAATGACCGGGGCCGCAATAATGTCATCGCCCAACAAAAACTCTAGGGAAAGGAGCAAGGATAAATATAAATGATAACGTTAGTATTTAAAAGTCAATCTACCATCGTAGATGCTCTGAGCAACTGCATCATCCGGCGCAATCCACCAGAGTGGCGCATTGACTGGTTCACCAGTTTCCGTGGCGCGCTTGAAGAGCTTCATAATGTAGGGCGTGTAATCCGCATGTAGCTTGGTGAATGTCTTGCTAATCTCAATCGTTTCTTGATCAAAATTCCAGGGCACAAAAGAGAACTGCAGGCTGGGCATGAACACATTGGCCTGCAGCCAGCGAATGAAGAGGTCCTTTGTGGGCGGCTTCTCGTTGTAGCCATTGCCGCCAATCATGTCCGGCAGCACAAACGGATAACCATTCAGATTCATTTGCAGCAGCGATGTGATCAGCGTGACCAGGCCATTGTTCCAGCCCCACTCTGAATCCTTGTCGACAATGCGCACAAATATAGGCAAGTCTTGCGTATTTTGGCCGGAGCGAACCTCAACCATGTCTCCAAATGCGGCCACTGTGCGCACATAATCGGTGGTGATCTGCAGCGGCGCTTGATTGGCATCACCCTGCAGCACCGGATCGGTGGGTATCCAGCTGGACTCGCCCGCATCGAACTTAAAGCTATCAATGCCATCTTCAGTCTGTAGGCGCTTTACCCGCGTGGTAAACCACTCTTGCACCGCGGTCTTGGTGAAGTCGAGATATGCGGCATCCTTGGGCTGACTGTTCCACCACTGGGTATCGGCGCTGCCTGCATGATCGAGCACCAGATAGCCCTGCTCCTTGGCCGTCTCGTAGATAGCCGTGCAGTTGTTGTTGATGAACGGATGTATCCACAAGGTTACCCGGAAGCCCAGCGCCTTGAGGTCGTCCGTCAGCTTCTTGGCATCTGGAAACTTGTTCTTGCGGAATGTCAGCGCACCATAGCAATCCTCCCAGTCGTCGTCAATTTCCAGTTGACTGTTCTCAAATCCATTGTCAAGGATTTGCTGTGCAAAGTCGCGCACCACTTCGTCCGTGACCTCTGCCTTGTATAGCGCCCAGGTTGACCACACCGGATGCTGAACCATACGCTCATCGGGATGACCAGTGGGCATGCCCAGCAGCGTCTTAACCGCATACATATGCGCCACCTTTGCATCCTTAGCGAAGCCCAGCTGATAGCTAAACTTGGACGAGGAAAGGCGCGTGTCATAGGGCAGGGCACTTAACGCGCTGATGCACAACTGGTCCTCCAGTCCGGCTGCATTCTGATCTATGAAAAGTGGCGTCGTGTTATCCACGTACAGGAAGAAACCCTCGCTGTTGAACCAGTACCGCTCCGCCACGCCCATATTGCCCAGCTCCTTGGGTACATACGAGAAGTTGCTATACTGCTGGCGCTCGACCGGCCAGTAGTGTTGCTTCTGCTCGGAGCCGCCAAACCAATGGACGCGTCCCGTATTGAGCTTAAAGCAATCCCTCGGTTGAGTGCCCTTTAGCACCTGGTCGCGAGCCACACGTACATGGGTCACGCCACCGGTCGATTGGACTAGGCTAAATTCGATGCTAGTGCTGCCATCGCTCAGCTTGTAGCTGCCGGTGGATGTCGCCTCCAGATTGCTGCTGCTCACAAAGTTATCCAAGGTGACCGTCTGCAGCGTTTGGCTTCCCTTCATCAGCTCATACTGCAGCTTGACACCGCGCCGCAATCTCAAATAAATGTCGCTGTTATCAAACTTGAACCGCTGTTCGATGGTCTGGCAGCCGTAAGCCGCACTGACCCACAGGCAGCAGGCGGCCAGAATAAGCGCAGCACTTGCGTAGCTGAGCAGCATTTTACTATAACTGTTGCATGAGCTGCCCAGCGTTGCACTTAAATAGCTCCGGCCCGGTATGCTTTTTGCCAACTAACGTGCTTTGCGCAACTACAAAAGCCGCGCAAATAAAGCCCTTGACCAGTGTCCATACTTTTCATCGCTGAAGATGCACTCCATGCGGTAGCTGATAAGCGGCTATCAGCTATCAGCTAGTGCTCTCCTCCAAGTTCATGAGTAATACCCTTTATATACGATCATTAGTCAGCTGATTCGGCGTGTTGACATGCCACTGAGAGACGAGCAAATTATCATTAATGATACTTATAAAATATTCGTAATTGTAATTGTAACATTATTTCCCTTTTCAATTGGCGTGTTACTTGCTATTACGTCCATATTAACTAGTTGAGTGCCTAACAATTATGAGTACTACGGAAGAGTCTTATCTTATCAAGACAATATGAATCATATGTATATATGGTACTAAGATCTTAAAAGACATTATTGATTAAATCCGCTCGCGAGTCAAAAAACATATATTCTCCCTTTCGAGTAGGTTATGAGAAAGCGTTAAAGCTGTGCTGTGCTGTGGTAATGTGCTTACCCAGTTTCAGCTCTCCAGTCTAAAAACTTACTTGGTTTTATTTAAAAAACAAGTCTCCAAGAAATTGTTGACTTAACAGATTTTGTTTCCTACTCGACAGCGCAGGCGGACATAACACGCAGCTGAGCGCTCAGTTCAGCGCGCAGTTCACCACTCAACTAAAATCTAATCTTCGCTTTACTCTACCAAACGCAACAAGTCAATCAGCGGCTGATTTTGAGACTTGCTCAGCTATTACTCGGAGCAGTTTTCACTCTACTCAGCGCAAAGAACGAGAACATTAAATGTGAAATGTACATACTTCTCTTCCGAATCGAATAGCTTAAAAGCAACAATTTGTAGTTGTGTAGTCGGATGCCAAACTAGGAGAAAATTCGCATCGAATCCGACTAGGAAATACCCTCTATCCAGTACTTAGACTCTCTAGTATTCATACTCTCTATTATTCATACATACACAAAATATACACTGAAACTCTTCAAGCATTAGCATTTGCGCTGCAATCTGTGTCCTTGAATAGTTTCGGAAATTATTGCACTTTTATAACAAGTTCGGGGCCGGGAAATAGTATTCAAATGCGCACAACACTGGTTTTTCTCCGTTTTTGGAACATGACCTGCGCGAGTTACGATAATGCAAATAATAGGAATAAATTTTATTTGCTTAAAACTAGGATAATACATTTTGGAAAATCAATTTCAAATGATTTGAATAATTTAAATGCGTGTTATAAATAAATCGCAGCAGTTGGTTTGAATGTCAAAGTTGATTTTTCTTTTAATGTTAGCATTAGGAAAATGGATTGCGATTTCGGTTGAAGCTAAACCCGTTTCATGAGCTATTCAAAATGCACCTTTTAATTAAGAAGGATGCTGGCTGGTTACTCGGGCACCAGCTGGGCATGCTCCTCATCCTGCAACGCTGCGTCGAGCGACTCTCTGGGCAGTTGATTTGGCTGCAGCTCATCGTGATATTCGAGCACATCACTCGGATAATGTAGATGCGCCTTGAATACCTCCACTTCCTGCTCCTCATCGCTATCGTCTTCGGCAATAAGCGCAACGCGCGTATAAAGCTCTGCCTTGGCCGCACGACGATTATAGACTATGCCACCAGCTACGCCCATGCCTACTAAAGATACAACAACGGCAATCACTAGCAGCGCTGTGCTCCAGTTCATGTACTGAATCTTGGCATCTGATGCTAGCTGCGCATTTGCGGGATTAGACACATCCACCACGGTGCTTCGCACCACATAGGCATAGCAGTAGGTCTCATTGGTCTGGAGCAGCTTGCGCAGCTGGTTGCCCGGATAGCAGGTGCTGCACTGGGACGCATTGGGGCCATAGCAACGCAGGCAGCTCTTGTCGCAGCTTGAGCAAATGCGACTTTGACGCGGTGTCAGCAACAAGGTGCTGGTGCTGGAGTCGCTGCTCCGACGTCGACGTTCCGCCGCCTGCAGTGGATCGTCCTGGTTGATGGAGCTTTTGCCAGTGCTGGGTAAATCGTTGCCATCCGGCGTCGAGATAGCTACAGCGGCGTCTATGTCGCTTAACGTCACTTCTTCATCCAGCTCATCTGAATTAACCTGAGCGAAGGTGTGCTGGGGGCACTCGTCGTAGCAGAGATCCATGTAAAAGAAGCTGGGCTCCCGGCAGTCTGAGAAGAACAGATGAAAAGAATTAATTCACGTATACCAAAGGCAAGAGCAAACAGAAACTAGTTACAACTAACCAAGGTGATAGACCATTTACCTCCGAAACAGTGTTGATAAATGGAGAAAAGAAAGTGGAAAACATGAATTTGCTTTTTAGTTAGTAGAATAATAAGAGAGTTGAAGCTCAAATGTAAAAGAATTATATGTACAAGACAAGGGCAACAAAAGAGTTGAATTTAAAATGTATTCTTTTCACTTTTTCATTCTTGTAATTAACATTTTCAAGCAATAGACAAGTCTCAACTGAAACTTTTCCATTAACAACAAACAATGTAAAAATACATATTGAAAGCAAGCGCAGTAGTCCAAAAAACATGCTCAAATAAAGTGGAAAATAAGTTGGGTGGATGTGAGTGTCTGCCGTACCAAAACCAGTGTTGGAATGTAAACAAGGCATAACGATGAAAAGTGAGAGGTGTGCATTTAAATATTATGTTAAATAATAGAGTTTACGATATTAACAAGTAGAAACACCAATTAAAATGTTAATAATAATCAGACAGTAGAAGAATAATAATTTTTTTTTTTTTTTTGGTTGAACGCTAGGTACATAGGTTAAAAACACAAAATTACGCAACACTATAGTGTACTAAGAAAGTTTCAAAATTTGATTTTTTTTTTGCCAAACTCACCTTGCTTTTAGCTACACGAGAAGGGGAGGGTTCAATTAATAAAATGTCTAAACTGTTTTTGGACCACATTTTACTTGCTGCGCAGTAAGAAAATCTTTGTTGTTGCAAAAAATGTTTCAGTCTTTTCAGGGTAAATATTTTGTGTTGAATACGTTTATAATGCGTTTATTTATTACACAGATAGTTATATAGATATATATATATATATATATGTATATATATATATATATATATATACATAAAACATACATAAAAAATGGTTGATTCTTTATAGCGGCCATCAAATCTCATTTACAATTATACTTAAGTTTTTTGTTGTTCTTAAATCCATTTTATTTATACATTTAAAGTGTAATTTTCGCACAAATTAATTATTTTGCTCCGAATTTGCAGTTGTTATTGTTTTAAATTTAATTTTAATAGCTACCCCAGGCCCTAGTACCATATTTTATTTTATTTTATTTTTCTTTTCTTTTATACTTATTTATTTAGTTTTATCTTAAAATTAATTTGGCTTTTTATTTTATTTTTTATTTTGAAATTTTTTGAAAAATGTTTAAGCATAAGTACCGCAGCCAGCACTGAGTTAATTCAATTAATTAAACAAACCTTATACGTGGACAAATTTAGAAAAACTTATGAAACACGGATTTTAATATTTTCAAACATTGTTAGTCCTTTGCTTAAGTTATATTTTATGCTGCTATGTTATATGCTTGAAGATTTTTAGTTTGTCGCAATTAAGCATAGAAAATGGCTAAGCTATCATTTATAATTATTATTATTTAATATTTCATGTCAGTTTGCTAAGTACAACAACAACAAACAAGTCAAACGAAAAGAGAAATTACTAATCAAATGAATATCTGTAGATTTATAAGTTATTTATTGTGCATTTACGATATGATTATTCATTTAAAAACCAGCAACATATATTTAGGTCGCATTTAAAGTTAAACAAAATTTGTACCAATTGAAAAGGAAAAACAAATTATATAAAATGATATGTGACACATTTGAGTCATTAAAAATTGTTTGTGCGTTGTATTTGTTGTTGCTTATTATAATAATGAGAGGGAATTAGAAATAATTATTGCACTTGTGTTGCGTTTTGATTTTGTTTTGATTGGTTTTTTGTTTTTGTTTTTTTTTTTTTTACTACCAAATGGAGATGAGAGCGATATGAGTCACGCGCCCATCTCTAGAATCAATTAAAGTAATTGTTTATGTGTTGGCAAAAATGAAGAACAACAAATATTGTAACAAAGATATGTGAGAGTGTTGTAAGACGATTCGATTTTGCTCTGATATGGAAATCAATTAACTTTATTACTTTTACAGTTTTATAGTTTATTTCTGGCTTTTTTATTTTGATAATGTAGCGCACAAACATAATGACTAGAAGTTTGTCGCTTACTTCTGGCATTTCTTAAGCTTTTGTTTTTGTGCGCGATGATCTCTGTTATATAATTCATTTATTAGTTCCTATGCTCACTAGAAAATAACCTAATTTTTGTTTAATTGGTTTTTTATTTTGTTATATTGCAACTTTGTTGAAAACTGCAGGAACTTTTTCTATATAAATTTTTTTATTAATTATTTATTATTGGTTGCTTGCCTACTTTAATACTATACGTAGTCGTACCCTACACCCTAGTATTTCGTTTTCGTTTACTTTTAATTTGTAGTCAATTTTACTTATGTTTTCTTTTTTTTTTTTTAATTTTCTTAGTTACAATTTTAATACAAAAATTTGTTTGCTTTGCTTTGACGCCTTAACACTAACATTTTATGTAATTTCTTTTAAAATACGAATTTCCATTGAATTTTCATTGTTAGTTATTTAGTTTACGCATCATTTCATTAGGATTTACGTTTAAATTTTAGAAACAGTCTTTTACTATGAACTCAAGCTGTTGTAATAAATCGTTTATTGTAGGGCGCTGCACAGAAAATTATGACAAAAAAAAATATAATTAAAACTTGAAAAGCAGTCAGTTCTGCCTAAACTGTAGCTATTTGGCTGGCCTGGCAATATCTGAAATATATGCATACATAAGTAGACATGTACAAAGCACAAAAGTTGAAGGGTCACTGAAGTGTGTAAGAAAACTGCTCAGTCAGCAGAGCATTTGAACAAGACTGGCCAATGCATTCAAAACTGTCAAGGCCAAGGCGCAATGCATGCAAAACTGTTTAATCTGACTTTGGCACAGGGAAATTGATAACCCTCATACTAAATGCAAGAAAAAAAAAGAAATAAACAAATTAAAATATTTCTAAATTAATGCAAAAGAAAAACCAACGAAAACAATGAACAAATTTAACTAAACTTATAAAAATATTTAAAATAGATTTTGACTAAATGTACATATATAACACACATCATTTTTGTTGTTCTTTGTGCGAGCCGAAATGAAACAACCTTTGTTTTGTCTAACATTTTTGTGTGTGTGTGTGTGTATCTCTGTGTGTATAACTACGCTTATATTCAAATTGAACTACAAAAAGTATATTTATTAGTATATTTATTTTTTGGACTTGCAGAGTTTTATTTTTATGTTTGTTTTCTGTTTTCTACGCTTATTTATCATGTTTGTTTTTGTTGCTTACTTTGCTATTGTTCAATTGATTTTTTGCCAGCTTTGAAAATGCTTAAATTAAGCACAAAATGCTCTTGTTAATGTTTGTTTTTTGATCAAACTTTAAATTGGAATTGAAGTTTGTTCACATCTTTGTTTTTGTTTTGTTTTTTGTTTTTTTGTTTTTACAATTGTTTATGTTGTTGTCAGCTTTGCAAAATAGTTTTTCTTGAATTATCTAATGCTTTTGTTGCTGTTGCCATTGTTGTTGTTTTTGTTGATGGCAATGGCTTGTTTAAAGTTTAGATAGAAGACTTGTGTTATGAGTAGAAAGATTAAAGACAAACCTAAACATTTCTGGTCGCTCCACTTGAGGCAGGCGGCTGCATTGCTGCGATCCTGAGTCATTCCCACTTCGCCCACCTGCAAGTAAACATTAAACGCGATGTAAAAAAATTAAACCGATTAGAGATTCATGTATTCAATCATTAAAATTACGTTCAACTTAGCGTATGAGTAATATTTTTCATGGCCAAACTAAACAAAACGAGCAGTGTATGTGACAGTTATGTGTCTATTAGATCAGAAGATCAGAAATGATTTGTTGGTTTATAATTAATCATTAATACATTCAAAAATAATCTATTAAATATACAACTATTGTTGATGTTAAGTTTATTGTGTAAGAAAGAGTAAATTTATATCGAGCAAATTAAATTACAATCAATAGAGACTTAAAGAAAAAGTATCAATTAAAAAAATAAAAATCAAAAGAAAAATATCAAGCTCTTTGACTATTCTGGGATCGTGTATAAAAGTGCTGTAAAAGTTTTTAGAGACAGAAAAAATAAATTTGCAAATCGTCAACAAATAACGAATAGATGAGTAAACACTTACTCTTCACTTTGTGAATGGAGCATAAACAGTGATAAACCTATCCTATATATAAACCTATACCAGAAAATACTTTAAGTCTTTCTTTAGTTAACAACTTTTTTGAAGGTTTAGGCATTTGAATTATTTTAATTTCTCTATGTCAAATTTACAAGCTGTTCTGCTACTGGCTTTTGTCGGTTTGTCTGGTTTCCGCTGCGGTTCATTGCATGTTGCCGCTTTGTCTGGCGTTTCAGTTTTAAGTACTTGAGTATGTATGTATAAAAGGAGTGTATGTGTATGTGTGTGTTTATTTATTGCAGCTCTAACCAAAAAATGTCTGGCTATATGTGTCTGTCTCTTTCTGCCTATGTGCTTGCTCTGTCCCTATCTTCGAGTCTAACAGAACCTTCACATGCGATGAGGTCGCGTGTTGGCAGCGGAAAAAATGTTAGTTATGCAAAAAGTTTGCTGGCAACATATAAAGCCAAAGGTCAGTGCACTTTTAGTTTATTACAGCAGGCACAAATACACACACAGACACACATGTACACATAGTTTCACACATTTAATGTGCCAAAAGTGAAGAAAAAATAATTTGATGTAGCTTTAAAGCAACAAAAGAAGCTAAAAGGTTAAGGGACTGTCCATTTCAGGCAAAAGAAACAATTTTGTTGTGCCTATGCCAAGTGTACTTTAAAATGAGTTGAAAGTACAAATGCCAACAGTTGCAGTTGCAGTTGCGGTGACTCCCAAACTGTGCATGCAAAATGAATATGAGTGCATTTAATGCAGCACCACTGCAGCTGACAGTAGCAAAATAAAAAAAATCACGTAGCCGCCTGGTGGTGCCAGCAAGAACTTGGCACATTGCCCATTGGCCAGGACAAGATGCATGCGATGCGATGCGATGTGTGTGTGTGTGTGTGTGTGTGTGTGTGTGTGTGTGTGTGTGTGTGTGTGTGTGTGTGTGTGTGTGTGTGTGTGTGTGTGTGTGTGTGTGTGTGTGTGTGTGTGTGTGTGTGTGTGTGTGTGTGTGTGTGTGTGTGTGTGTGTGTGTGTGTGTGTGTGTGTGTGTGTGTGTGTGTGTGTGTGTGTGTGTGTGTGTGTGTGTGTGTGTGTGTGTGTGTGTGTGTGTGTGTGTGTGTGTGTGTGTGTGTGTGTGTGTGTGTGTGTGTGTGTGTGTGTGTGTGTGTGTGTGTGTGTGTGTGTGAATTGAATTCAGCTTGCCAGCAAAAACTAGAAATTGAGCATTTTCGTATGCTAAATAGTTGAAAATTTATGAGCAGCTTGTGCGTTTAAGCAGCGCAAATAGTTAGTGCAAATAAAAGAAAAACTCAAGGAAATGTTCAACAGCGAATGCAAGAGGAAAAGCCAAAGGCATGCCAAACACAAACTTAAAATGTAAATCTACCTACACACAGTAAAACAGTTTGCAAAGCGTTGCCAAAAAAGCCCCAAAGCCTGTATGTCGCTAGTCTGCCTAGTTAGGATTTCTATATATATATATATATATATATATATATATATATATATATATATATATATATACATGTATAGTTTATATCAAATATCATTGGCGTTGTCTGTTATTTCGATACTCAAGCCAGCCACATGCAAGCACGCGACGCTGTGCCGCTATTTTGATGTAGACCCAGTCGGAAGCGGACACTATCAATATCCTCGTCCTCTGGCTCAACCTCGTTCTCTGGCAAGCCGCTTGCGAAGCACTGCAGAACCAAAAATAAAAGAAAAAAAAAAAAAAAAAAAAAAAACACAAAAACAGAAAGCAAAAACAACAGAAAAAGTGAACATACTAAATATCTATTGTATAAAATTCACAAAGTGAAATCAGTCAAATGTTAAACATGTTCTGTTGTTACTTATGATAGGAGAGATAGAGAGAGAGAGCTTGTCACTGTCTTTATTTCTCGTATAGTCTTCTTGAAGCATTTTAAATATTTCTCATCTAGCTTCTTCCGATTTCTTTTTTACAAGTTTCCCTGTTGCTAAGCCTTACGTTGTGCTTCTCACCACGCTTCTCACTATACATCCTATAACACATATTTTCATCCCTCTTAAATGTTTTTCGCTGCGCAAATCTTTATGGTTCTTCTTTCTCTTTACTGCTCACTAAGGTTCTCTTTTACGCTTTCAACTCCGCTCTTTTCAGTACATTTCGCTTCACTATTCGCTTCAACTTTCACTTTGCTTCTCGCTACTCTCCTGACCATTTCTGCTCGACAAAACACTGCTCGTTTAGCTTTTTGCTTCTTTTCCCAATTAAAGAGTTGCATATATTTGGTAGTCAAAGCAAAAATGTGGCACAGCAATTGTCTTAAAGCCTCTCAGGTCAATTCGGGCTATTCACAGCTCTTTGTGTATGTACGCGTATTTTGTAAATGTAATATAAATGCAACTGCGTGGCAATCGAACTCACCTGTTGCATATTGCGCCATTGTCCGCTGGCATCGTGCTCGATATCGTTGTGTGCCATATCGTTGCCGAACACGTTGAATTGGCTCTGCTGGTTCTCGTGGATCTGGTCTTTGGGCTGGGCGGGCACCTCGGTGCCATAGAGTATCATATCCCATTGTGTGATTTGCGCTGCAAGGCAACAAAATGAGATTAGACAAGACTGCGAATGTTTCGAATCATGAAATGAAAATGAAAACAAAAATAAGGCCAAACAACGGAAAATGTGAACATATGATTTATGGAATAACAAACGTGTGAAGCGGCGTATGAAGGGCCAATAAATCTGTCAAAAAATAAAACAAATGATGTGACAAAAGCTAAACACAATTTCTAGTTGAGGCCAAATGAAAAATGTGCTGCATACATTTTTGAATGTTGACAACCGAGAATAATAACAACACTTGCACTATGCAGTTAACTTGAAACTACTTTGATTGATGTAACGCGTTCAGTGGTTGTCAAACTTTAAGCAATAACGAAAATCAAGAAGAATTTAGCGGCCAGCTTGAATTGCAGTTGCTATTACAAACTATATTAAGTACACATATGGTGGTCAGAGGTTAACTAGGTGACATTAAGTTAAATTCTTCTTGAGCCAAAGGCTTAAATATACCTAACAGTATGGCAACGCCATGTAAAGTCCAGCAGACAATTTGATAGTTAAATATAATCTCGTTACTTTTGTATTAATACTTTAATTTACATTGCATGTTAAATGCTTACCACGATTATAAACTGCAAACTAACTATAAGGATTATCTTAGTCAGAGGTGACATTAAATAAAGATTGGAGATGTTTCTTTCGTACTAAGTATCAGTTGCTGAGCTTAATCATATGAACGAAAAATTTACACTGTATGCTAAATGCCTAACATAAAGATTAACTACAATCTAACTGAACCTTGCACAACGTAAAATATAATAAAAAAGTAACTATTTTCTTTCGCGTTAAGTATGCTGTATATGTACATACGAAGTGTAAAGTTATTGTATATCATATGTTAAATATTTAACATGAAGAAAAAGTGTAAGATAACTGTAGCGAGCGCCTTACACATGCAGAAAAGTTGTTGAGATGTATGAAAGGATTATATAAATTGTATGTCAACAATTGAACAAAAAGATAAACTATAAGATAACGTAGGATGAACTTTAAACAAACTTAAAATTAAATAAAGATTGACGAACATTCTCGTCTTAAACATCAGCTACTGGGTCTATAAATTTTCTATAATAAATTTTAAGTGCAATTTTGAGCGAAATTTTTGTTAAGTGCATAAGGTAAGATTAGGCCCAGCTGTTTTTTTTTTTTTTTTTATTCAGGATACCATTTGCTGCGCTGCTCTTGCCAAAACTACTCGGTGCTAGCTGCAATATTCCCTCCTCAGAATCATCCTCTTCATCATTGGCGCTCATATCATCATCGCCATTCTGTGGCGTCAGGACACCGGCGGCGGCCATTAGGAGCTGCTGTTTCTTTAGTATGCGCTGATCAGGCAAAAAGCTGCTGCCACCCGCGGGCAAAATGGGCTGTGATGGGGGCGGCGGAGCGGATGGTGATTTTTTGGTATTACCAGGCTTGTTGCTGCCAGCAGCACCACCTGTTGTGGGTCTAAACAGCTCCACCTCAAATTGTTTGCCCTGTTTGCGCGGGGATTGTTGCTTTTGCTGCTGTTGCTGCTGCTGCTGCATACCAGGCTTCGATTTTGATAAGCTGCTGCTCTCGTAAGGTTCCAGTTCGGGAAATATAGCCTGAATCTTGTCGTAGTGCTCGAAAAGCTTAGGTATGCGCGAGTCGGGGCTGCTGTCCTTCACCTGCTTGGCTGCCTTTACGGGTAGGCGTGGTGCAGTGGAGCTGTTGCTGCCGCGATTGTTGTTGTTGTTGTTGTTGTTGTTGCTGGTGGTGATTTCGCCTATGACTTTGCGCGTTTTCTCTTCATAATACTTTTCGCTGGAGCTGGCTTTGGGGCGCTGCGTTTGCAGTCCATTGGCCTGCCCCTTGGATTTACCACCGCCACCTCCTCCTCCACCGTGCTGCTGCGATATTCGATAGTATTTATTCTTGTTGCTGCCTTGGTTGCCGATGTTGCTGCTGCTGCTATTCTGTGCGGCTTGCTCCTTTTTGTTGGTCTTGCCATTGCCATTCTTTTCGCCCGCCTTGTTGGCTTTATTGGCTTTGTTGTTGCCTTTGTTATTACCCTTGTTGTTGTTGTTGTTGTTGCTGTTATTGTTGTTGGTCTTGCCCAGTATAACACCATATGTAGCGGAGATTTGTTGATAGCCCTGCTTCGCTGGTGGCGCCGGCGGCAGCGGCAACAACGGATTGTTGGTCACCAAATTGGATTTATTGGGCGGCATCTTACCAAGCGGCAGTTTGGCCCCACCTGCCGATGCTTGGGCGAAGTTATTGGGCGATATGCGTGGATATTGCGGGGAATAGATCTGATGCAAATTACTGGTCGTGCTGCTGGTGGTACTCGAATTTGGCGTGGTCGCTTGCTCGCCGCTGCTAGCACGTGCCACCGAAATAGGATCATTGGGATCAATGGTCAGCGTGGTACCATAGAATATCAACGACCATTCGCGCAATAGGGCGTGGCCTGATGGGATTTGAGATGAGTAAAAGTGGTTGGATGGGTTACATTAGCAATGGAAACGTTGAATGAGTTTAGTTGATGAGTCCACAGAAAGCGCAGCATGTATAATTGTTTGGATTTTGTTGTCGGTTACCATTACGTGAGAAGCTTTAGATTATTTTTACTTACCCATATAGCGGCCCTCGTTGTGTATTTCCAGCTGCCAGTTGCCATGCGGAGACTCGCCCCACGTGTGCACCGACATGAAGGGCCATTGATTGAAACCGGAACGTGAATTATCATGCATGCTGAAAAGGAACCATGGAAGCGGAAAAGTCAGTTTGTGACACGGGTAATGAGTGTATGGATTAATACCATTTTCGTTAAGTCATTCTCAATAAACTCAATAAACACACTTAATGTCTTATATTCTAAATAAGCTTCAACTTTTCTCTTTAGCTACCATTTAGAGTTGCAGAATTTGTTACTCATCTTTAAATACTCTCCAACTTCTTTTTCTTTGAGCTAGTCTTAAAGCTACCTTCTAATGCATGCCGGGCTTGAATCAATGTTGGTAATTGGGTATAACCCTTTACCCATTCTAACCACTTAAAATGCATATTGTTGCTTTAGCAACCGTCAGGTTCACTGTATAGATATTTCAAGAAACTCCTGTTTATTGGGCAAATCATGGGCTTAACTTACCGTGAGGTTAGTAATGTGACTTTGGTATTTGCCGGAGATTTCAGATAAAGCTGAATATCACCGCGTCGCTGTGAGGTTAAGGTGATCTTGGCCTGTACATGCTCTAGATAATTGACTGAGAGGCAGTGATTGACGGACAGCTGCAGAGTGATGTGTGTGCGGGGCGGAATGACTCTGCAAAGAGGAAGGGTATTCAATTGGTACGTATTACTCAAGTGAATCACATGACTTACTTGTCCACATGTGGAGCGTTAATCTCGCAGCGCTGTTGCTCGGGCACTGTTTTCCAGTTGCGTGCGACGCGCACCATTTCGGCGGCATCCATGAGACCATAGCCAAAGGAATGGCTCACACGTCGGCCCACACCGTTCCGCGACCAGCTGGAATCCTTGAGATTCGCCGGCTTTGCGGTGCGCACCACAATGTGCTGCAGGTCGCGCCAGGTGAGATTCTGATTCGACTGCAGCACCAGGGCTGCTATGCCCGCGGCGAGCGGTGCCGAGGCCGAGGTGCCCGTATGTGATACGGTGCATGAATGATGCAAATCTGTGGTGACCACCTGCTTCTCGCTCTGCCCGCCGCTGCTGTAGGTGGTGGCCAGCGTGGAGCTACATTTCTCCGAATACCACGGTACATTGCCCTCCTCGGTGGCGCTCGAAATGGACAACGTCCATATCGAATTCGTATAGCCATCGCAATTGCAATTATCCATTTCCCTGCCTCCATTGCCAGATGCCCAAATGAAGATGCTGCCCTTTCCGCCACGCCCCTTCGTTGTGCCCTCAATGAAGGCTCGCGAGGCTAATTCACCAGGTCCATCCACTGTCTTGCCATCATCATCGGGTCCCCACGATGCGCTATATATGTCAATGTGCTGCGGATTGAGCGAGAGCGAACGCGCCTCCACAGCATCAGTCACATCACCATCGAGCATCCGCACACCGCCCACACTTGCCCCATACGCGATGCCAACCGCACAGAAGGAGTTGTTTGCGGTGGCAGCCACCTCGCCGGCACAGCGTGTGCCATGACGGTTCGAATCGGTCATGTCGTAATGTGGCATGGGGTCATCATCGTGGCTGTTCACGTCATACGAGGCTTTGGGATCCTGTTAAAAGTATTATTAATAATAAAAATTCGGTCAACGATAATATGAGCTTTCTTATCACTTACATAGTTCTGCTCAATATCCGGATGATCGGATTCGAGTCCATCGTCCAGAATGGTAACCACAACACCCTTGCCCGTTATTCCCTGCTGCCAGGCGGGTATTACATTCATGTCCAGGTCTCCGCCGCGGTTCTGTAAAGCGAGTTTATTAATTAAAGTTCTTTACCCGCCATCCGTACACTTACCAGATACCACATCTGTGGCCATTTGGGATCATCGAAGGTCATCACATCCACCAGCGACAAGGCTCGAGAGGAGGTGCGCGATGGTCGCATGCGTATAAAATCGCGCTTGGATCGCGACTTTGCCCGCTGCTGTTTGGCCCAATGGACGCGCTCATCCAAGTCGAGGCGGGTCTGATGATGTGTGGCGGGTGTCAGTGAACGCTTCGACACCTTGTGGTGCGCAAAGTGATAATGATCATCGAATATCTATTATATAGAATATAAAATGCAAAACAATATTAGCGATTTAGATTGAAAAGGGTTAGCCCCATTGGAGGAATGACCATTTCATCTCAATCCGGATTACTGGTAATCCGACCTTAAGAAGCAAATTAAAAGCTGCTAATAAGTTTATTAGATAAATTTTGATCACAACTAAGCGCAATTACTCATTGAAATTGCCTTCCTTGGACCAAAAAATGGTATGGGTCTGCAGGAAATACTCAATATGTTTCACATCTCCAATATCAGCAAGTCAATCATTATCTATGGATTCTAAAAATCCATTTTATTATACTAAGCCAAGGCCTAGCATCATCATTAATTAAGATAGCTTTAAAGACGAATCATTAAGAAAACAAATCATTTACAAACCCAGTTTCAGTTTCCAATCAATACAATTTTTAATACAAATAGTATGCCACTGTAAAAACTTCATACAAAAGCTGTTTAGTCATAATATATAAGTTCTTAACCATTTCAAACTCATAAAATTTGACGAAAATATTGGCAAACTATTTTGAATTGATTTGACTTGAAAATGGCCCGGCGATTGGGTAAGATGCAGGAGCTGGCGGAAAAACTTTTTACACCATCGGAAATACATCGTTTCAATGCCTATCGAGATAATTTTTCAAAAAAATTTTTGAATTTGAATTCGTATAGCTTTAGGTGGTCCTTCAAGCGGCCCAGACTGTCAGTCTCTATGCCCAAGTGGATAAATTCGCGTTTGTTCACATCCGGCGACTGTGAAAGTGGGTTTTAGCTGTCTGATTAAGAGGAGTCCCTTTAACTAGAGCTTGTTCAATCCACAGAAACCAGTGAGGAATGCTGTTGCGAGCGACCCGAACACTTGCAGCCGAATTGTGAAATCGATTGGGATTCGGTGCATCCACCGGGTCAACCCTATAAGCCCCGTGATACACACTACTGGTATCCAGATCCGGAATATCTGGAGCAATTCCAGGGCCAGGTCCTTTGGCCCATGGGCGATGAATGGAAGAAGCGGCCGAATCCATCGAGTCGCTATTTTCCGCCCATCAATCGCACATTTCGCAGTAAGTTCATCAACTTTGGACCCGCACATCCAGCGGCACATGGAGTGCTCCGCATGATCCTGGAGCTGGACAATGAGACGGTGCTCTCGGCTGATCCACATATTGGCTTATTGCATCGAGGCACGGAGAAACTCATCGAGTACAAGACGTACACCCAGGCCTTGCCCTATTTTGATCGACTCGACTATGTCTCGTGTATGGCCTGCGAGCAGGCCTATTCTCTGGCCGTAGAGAAGCTGCTGAACATTGAGATCCCACCCAGGGCCAAGTATATTCGCACCCTCTGCGGCGAGCTGATGCGTCTCACCAATCACACCATGGCCGTGAGCTCATCCGTGCTGGACTGTGGCGCCATCACGCCACTTTTCTGGCTTTTCGAGGAACGCGAGAAGCTGTACGAGTTTTCAGAGCGCTTGTCAGGTGCTCGTTTGCACGCGGCGTATATTAGACCAGGCGGTGTGGCCCAGGACATGCCCATAGGCTTCAGTGATGATCTGTATCGGTTTATAATGGCCTTCAGCGATCGCCTCGACGAGGTCGAGGATGTTGTTACCGATAATCGCATTTGGCGCATGCGCAACATTGGCATCGGCCGCATCTCGGCGCACGACGCACTCAACTATGGCTGCACGGGTCCCGTATTACGCGCCACGGGCATCAAATGGGATCTGCGCAAACAGCAGCCCTACGATGCATATGCCGATATGAAATTCGACGTGGCCATCGGCTCGCAGGGCGATTGCTACGATCGTTACCTCGTGCGCGTGCTTGAAATGCGCGAGTCGTGCAGTATCATTTTGCAGTGCTTGAACTTGATGCCGCCGGGTCACATCAAGGTGGATGATCGCAAAATTATGCCGCCACAGCGTCGCAAAATGAAGACTGGCATGGAGGATCTCATACACCACTTCAAGCACTTCTCGCAGGGCTATTGTGTCCCGCCGGGGGAGACCTACACGGCCGTTGAGTCGCCCAAGGGCGAGTTCGGGGTTTATCTGGTCTCGGATGGTAGTTCGCGACCTTATCGATGCAAAATTCGGCCCGCTTCCTATACGCATTTGGCGCTCCTAAGCAAACTGTCGCCTTCATATCTGCTAGCCGACGTTGTGGCTATTATCGGTTCGCTGGACATAGTTTTTGGCGAAATCGATCGCTAGCCGTGTTCAGTGTGTAAGGGTACCTAAGAAATGACAAAATAAAGAGCTTGTAACTCAAAGCAAATGCCTGTCAGGCTTACCGTATGATTCAGATATCCTGCGTGTGACAAGTTGACTACCAAATGACTGTTAAACATACACACTTTTATTTAATTAAGTGCCTTAAGGGAGTACAATGTGACTATCAAAATTAAGGTCATATGAGGGTGACTAAAACGCTCGCCATGTGTCTTTTAAATGTGCAGCAACTGTAAATAAAACTTACAGCGTGTGATTTGTCAAACTGTCAGAGACGCATCTGAGTGTCAAAACCCTAGTGTGTGATTGTCAAACTTTCACAACGAGACTGCAAGCTCTTGAAATCGTGTAGCAAGTGCGTCAGTTCAGGACTCAGAATGTGACTGCCAAACCTAAGTGAGCGAGCCTTTATACGCCGTGCGTGTGACTGTCAAACTCTTAGCGAGTGCCTGTCAAATAGCATGCGTGTTACTGTTAAATTTAATGCGTGCTTATGTGACAGCCCGAAATACGAGCTGACGTTTAATTACGCACTTAAACAACAATAACAACAAGTGTTGGCGACAACGCAAACACCATAAACTATAAATAATAACATCAGCAACACGAGCGCCAACAACACAAAATTCCGCTAAATCCTATAATTACAATAATGGGATAGTCGTTGCCATAAACAAACAATATGTCAGTAAATTTTTGGCAACAGTTTTAAATAACAACACACACACACACACACACACACACGCCCGCTCTTACAACAAATTGAAGTGTGTGCCTTCTCGTAATTATATATTGTATTTATATTATCTTTGTGAAATGCTTGCTAAATTGTTTTGATTTATTCGGGCACGTCTCTGCCTGTGTGGCGCCCAAGCAGTACTCTATGGCCACAGCTGCCAGACGGGCCGGTATGGTGTCTGGAATCTGTTTTTAATTGCATTTAATTGCACGAAATTCTTTAGCAAATTACAATTTAAAGGCTACATGGCAACTATTTTGCAATTTCTTTTAATTATGCTTCAAGAATTCGTTGTTTGTCAACTGGAATTTTGTATTCAGATATTTTCTTTGTTGCAGCCCATTAAAGTGGCATAAAAGGACATGTTTAAGGCATAGCTACATGTATTTCAATTGCGAGTGCGCCTCCAAGCCTTTTTTAGAGATGGAATTTTAAAGCCTTATTTTAGCATAGGCTCATAAAAATTGGTGTATTGTATAACATGGCATGCGGTTGGCAACCCTGCCAAGCATCTATTGTAGAAGGCTGTGTTGACAGTTTTGGAAAGCAATTGCGTGTGTATTTGTGCATGTGTGTGTAACATACGTGCGTTCAGTGTTGCCAAAAACTTGTACATGCTTAAAGCATTAGAGTTAAATAGAGAGAGAGGAAGGGAGCCTGAGCTCTCTTTTGTTAAGAGAGACAGGGAGAGAGAAAGACCCATACTCACGCATCATCAAGCGTTTTACAAATATTATCATTAACCGAAAGTTCTGGCGCAAACTGCATGCTGCCAGGTGCAACAACAACAAAAGCAACAAATACATGCCGCAGCCACATGCAACAACAAACAGCAACTGCAGTGTAGCATAAAAGTATGCAACACAATTTATTTATGCCCAGAGCAGGTTGTCGCCTGGCGATTTGCAGCTGCGGAAGCGGTTGCTTTGCTCGAGTGTGCCTGTGTCTGAGTTTGTGTCTGTGTGTGTGCGTGTGCGTGTGAGTGTGAGTGAGCTTGTGTCTGTGTGTTTAGCTGTCAGTATGCGTTTGTACTGAAATTTGAGCACTTGAAAAACGGACGTACGTGTCGCCAATGGAACGCCTACAAGCAAAATGTCTGCCTATAACCCCAGCTCCCTCCCCGTCGCACTCGCTGCTCGCTTTTCCTTCCACCGGTCCCCGCATCCTGTTGAGCACTAAAATTTTAATTGCAGCTACTCTCTGCGTACGTGTCGCCTTGCGCTGAAACCTCGTTTGGTTTTTATGCCAGTTGCTCCTATACCTATCCCTACTCCAGGTCCCACTACCAGTTTCTCTTCCACTTCCACATCCGCATCCAATCCCGCTTTTATTTCCGACTGTCGACTCTATCAAGTTTATTAATTTATGCGGCCCAGCAGCATCAGCAGCAGGAACAGCATGAACAGCATGAACAGTTACCCGGCCCGGAAAGGATCTACATACTAGTTAAAGATACTCCCCCTACTGTCCGCATACATATGCATTTTTTATTCAGCATTTTAATTGAGTTTGGTGTAAAAGTTTAGTTTATACCCCGGTACTAAAAGCAGTTCGAGCGTGTCCTTTTTTAGGGTCTTCTCTGTTGGACGAGCTTAGTTTTAATCGTTTTGTTGCGGTTTCACTTAAAATTGACGTAAAGCTTGAATAAATATATAATCTTACTCGCCCCATCTCTCTGTATACGTTCCCATCAAATTTAAGTGCTAATGCGGCACACGTTGGTGGATTAATCGGTATTTTCTGTGCTGTGCGTCAGGACATTGGCATTAACTTTTACAGGCCATCTGCTTCGAGGGCTCGTAAATATAAATAGAGTATCCGAATAACATATACATAAGAAAAAAGACTTCTAATCTACATCATAGATCAAATCTCACTGAATATCATATTGAGTATCCAAAAACTGTTGAATTGTCTCTTGATATTGCTTTAAAACGAATTCTCAAATGTAAATACTAGAAAGCAAGAAACACACAATATACAATCCAGCTCAGAAGGAAGTCAAAAAAATCGTGT